GGCGACGCCTAAGCGCCTAAGGCGGGCGTATTTGTAAGGCGCTGGGGGGCGCCTTATCGCCTAAGCGTCCAAGGCGGGACGCCTTAAAAACAATGTGTGATACAGGTGAGCTAGAGAGGCTATTTTTTTAATGGAAGCAACAGACCACAAACTAGTGAAACCGGATCAACATCAAGATATAACTACCAGTCAGAAACTAGTTAAAATATCACCTCCAGATACAGTAGATTGTTACCTTGCAGTATCCACATTTTATAAGATCACAGGCCTTTAGAAGCTGGATCTCCCTTCGTAGGCGATACGAAACCCCATTAATCTCCAGCAATTTTTGTCTCACAGGTTCCGATACTGGAAGTTGGTTTCCGATGTAAAATGACAAAAGATCTGGTTTTTTTACAAGCTCATCAATGCTTGGCGTTTTGATTATCAGTCTCCACAAATCTGCAACAAAAGGACAGTGTAAAAAAGATAACCAACTGAATCAGAAACATACCTAAGGATTTGCACAATTATCATTCATTTACTTTGGTGAGAGGATGTTTTTCCTATGAGAACAATATAGACAGGGCAAAGTTGGCATTGTGCAGTAAAGATTCAGTGAAATATGTAGGGCATGTTTGGTTGGTATACTAAGGTTGCCACACTTTGTCAGGCCACAACCTTAGGCATGTATGGCAAAGTGTGGCGCCAATCTTAATTGCCTAACCTTAGGCATATATGGCAAAAAAGTGTGTCAAATGTTGGCAATCTTGGTATATGAACCAAACAGACACGTAATGACAAGAATGCACTGTAAGATTCATAAGAAACCAGTTTGATGAAATAGGAGCGCTTCACATACCAGCAGCTCTACAAGCAAGTGAATATGGGTCATACATTTCATAAGCCCATTGAGGCCAAAAGGCCAATGATGCCTGAAGAGGCTGCTTCGAGTAATTAGCAGCGTTGTACTGGTTCTTTGTATCTGTTCTTGTACTCGAGGGTGTCGAGCAAGTAGAATCCTCCTCATCCATATTGGCATTCTCGCCTGACTGACCAGAAACATAGGGCTTCATTGAATTGCTAGACTGTGAACTTGAATCACTTGCAGAAGGAGTATCACCATGTAGACCTGAATCCATATGGCCCTGTTGTTTCATTGGTGACACATCCAAGCTCATAACTGGTGAAGAAGTATGCAGCTGGCAGCTCCTAGATGCAGCTAGCTGTGCAAATGCACCTCTTGGAGTTCTTAGTGGAGGATCTTCCTCGATAATTTGAACCTCACCCCACACCTAAGGACAAAAGTAAATGAAACAAAGCTACATTTGTCCTGCTTCTAATTCAAAAGAACATAAAACAAGGCTACCCAATTAGATCTTAGACTTACCACCCCATCAACATCCGCCCAGTAACGGATCAGACGAAATCGTTGCTGACCACGTGCTTTAACATTTATTGAACCATCATCCGACCGTCCAAGTTGCCGTATCTGCAAACAAACAAAAATACCAACTGATCTGATCAGGCTGTTCAGAAGAATAGTTCTAACCAAAAAGACAAATCACACCGAATTACATATAACATTTTATCTTTCGAGATTATGCAAGGGATCTTGAAATTTATCACATGTGTGCCATGCCACCATAGGTAACTAATAACCCCTAATACCTCCGTCCTAATTTACATGGCGCCCACGTATTTCAATGTTCAAGTTTGACAATTTACTTGCCCAGTAAAATGTAGATTGTGTGCCACAAAAATTATACCATTGAATTTATACTTGAAAAAAGTTTCCAACAGACAACAGTACAGTTTGTATGGCACATACTCATATATCATTGATCTAATTGATTGTTAAAGTAAAATCACAAAAAACGAGGGCGCCACGTAAATCAGGTCGGAGGAAGTATTAAGTATATAGTAGGAAATAGCATACACATGGAGTTGGTCACTAAACAACACCATTGGGAATTTGGAACCAAAAAAAGCTAACCAAATGAACAATCCATGCACATAGAGATTGATCAATAACTTCAGACTGGTCTGGAAATTGCAACTCAAAGCATAACAGAAATAAATGTACGGCACCTCTGCTGTGGTTCCAACTGAAGCATTAGCATAATTTCGATGATTTGGTCGTCCGTGCATGAGAACCTATACATCGAGTCATAGTCTTTAAAAATTAATCCACAAGTAAAAGCAACTAATTTTAACATGATTGGAACGCACCACGCCTATTGTGTCTGGAGCATCATCACGGCTTAAAGCCTTCTCGACAGCTGCCACAAACCTAACCTCAATTAGTTTCAGAGGCAAGGTAGCTCCAGGAAACAGGACGACACCTGTGAAATATTCATAGCACCATTACATTTGATAGTCTGTAAGAAAAGATAATATCACCTTTATGCTATGACTTCTAATGTGTAACCGTGCACGAGCCAGGTCAAACTATATCAAAGATTTGTGCCTCTTTTCACTGGATCTGGGTTTGCAATTAAGAAACTATTTTGACAGGCCATCCTATCAGGATCACAAAGGATCCAATAGCAAGTTATCAGCATATTACCTTTTTAGGATTGCTCGTAGATGATTCATTATTGAGTATAACTTATCTGGTTACAGACGAAAACTTCAATTATCAAGAGAAACGCCAGCTAATATTTTCCTTCTGCTTCCCGATCTTAGACGGATGGCCAGGGCCCAGGGGAGCATCAGCCTAGTGGTGTAGGCGGCTGAGGCAGGGGGGAGCAGCGAGGCGGCGCCACAGGGGGGTGAGCAGCGAAGGATGTCTGGTGGGCAGAGCTGGTACAGGGGTTCTCACCTGAGAGAGGACACTAAGCGGGAACAGGGTGGGGTGAGCCATTGATACACTGTAGGTGGGCAAGGGTGGTGTTGGAGGGGGGTGAGAGGGAGGAGCTTGGTGCGGAGGAGGTAGAATTGCAGCTTTCCGCTTTCGGTTGGAAGAGGAAGCGTTTCAACCACAACCTTCCATTTATTGGCTGTCGGAAGGTCGTCGTTCAGCACAAACATGCTAGCATGCATGAGCTAGATGCGTTATTAATTGAAAAGCCAAGGCATCTTGACATTTTACTGTAAAGCAGACACGTGTCTTTATATCTGCAAATCTCCAATTCTAAAGGAAACAGCTACAAATAATAATGCTTGTCAATTCAGATTATCATATTCAAAACTAGACAAATCACTCGCAATCTGTGGGGCATAAAAAGTATCTATTAAATGATATCTCAGTAAACTTGACGAAGCACCAATCCATGCATCTTCAAGGTTATCAAGACAATAAAAATCTTTGCCAAAAGAAAGACACTAAAAGTAAAGGATACAAGTGCATGAATTAACAAATAAAATACAGAGATAGAAGAGCATTACTGTGAAGAAAGGACATTGGCAAGCTGAGAACGAATTAACAAATAACATACAGAAACAGAAGAGTATTACCATGAAGAAAGAGCATTGGCAAGGTGAGGATCGAACCAGCATCTAAGAGAGTAGCTTTTCTGCCCGGTATATCATCAACGTCTGAATGACACGCATAGAGACATTTAGAACATGCAGTCAGCATCATAAAAAAAAGAAGGTCGGCACTGATAATTTACCGCCAAGATAGGTGTGCAGTGCGGTTTGACGACCGAATTCCCTACGTCCATCCCCATCATTATCCAACCTGGCACTCATGAATCAGGAAATGAACATGAGAAGTCCCATGATCCAATCTGATGAACACGATCCGCAGCCAATTCGGACTACAGAGCGAGATTTCGGTCAGGGACACTGTGTTTGGAGCTGTGGAGCTACTCCTTTCCCTGAAATCCCCACACTCTCTCCACCCTAGGGTTTAGTCCCGATGACATTATACTTCTTTAATCTTTAATAAGCGAAACGAGAGTAAAACATCCATTCCCTGAAATCACCACACCCTCTCCACCCTAGGGTTTACAGGCCTAACGCTCTCGGCCCCGAAATGCTCTCTCGGGCGGATCGCATCGAGGCAGGCGGCTTCCGCACCGCCGATTCCACCGGTAGAGCTCTACAGTTCCGCCCCCTAGACCTAGAACAGCAAGCGCGCTACGGCCACGGCTACGGCTACGGCGCGGATGCTACACGGGAGGGAAGGGGGGAGTGGCGTCGAGAGATGACCTCGCGAAGGAGCCGATGGCGAGCACCTGGCGGTAGATCTCGTCCTCCATCTGCTCCCACTCCCTCTCGAACCTCTCCTGGCCGCCCGGGTTCACGTCGAGCACCCCGGCGGCGAGCGCCACCCTTTCGAACTCGTCCATCTCCGTGGCGTCCTGCGGGTCCGTCCCGTCCCAGTCCCACTCCGCCTCCATCTCGCCGAGCACGGACGGGACGACGCCGGCCGGCCACAATCGCAGGCGAGATTTGGCTTCTCTTCTCTCTCTCTCCGGTTCCCCCTCTCTCCTGCTGTTTCTGTTTCTGTCTGGGCTGCCTGTGTCCAGTTTTTTTTTTCCAAGGTGCGCGAGGCTTCTCGTCACATTCCGGTCCACGTGTACACGGCCCATTACACATTTCCCCCAGGCCCCCATTCGGCCCATTTGCCCGCACGAGCTAGCTCCTCCTCCGCCGCGGCCTCCTCTCAGTCCTCACTCGGCTCAGCCGCGTAACGCTGCCGGCGTCAAGCCGGAGTCCGGCCCTCCCCGCCTGTAACAACTGCTGCGCTCGCTTCTCCGTATCGCCTTCCGCACTGCGACAGCGGCTCCCGGTTAATTTTATCCACGCTGATTTGTGCTGATTCGAGCAGGGGTCGGCACAGTCGCGCGGAGGATTGGGGCCGCTGCTGTACTGGTCGCCGGGGCTCCTGTCGACGAATCGCCCGCCAGCCAATCCCTCGCCCGGGTGTAGGCATCACCGGGGCTTTGCCTTTGCCCAGCCCCAATCTGGGCGTCACTTGGGGGGAGGGGAGGGGAGAGTGGGTCTCCATGCGCCATCACATCAGCCGCGGAATCGACATATCTAAAAAGAGGTAGTGTATCCACGCGACATGCCTTACCCGTTGCTACCCTTGACAGAGATTGCCAACTTGTTATTCAAGTATGATAGATTTTGACATTTCTGCTGAGCGTGCTGTAATGTTTCCACCATTTTGATTTGATGTTTGGTCTTCAGAGTCTGGTAAATCCAACTAGGGAAGTTACTGGAGGAGCTACGCAGAGTAATGCTAATTTTATATGCATAATCGATTAATCGTTGGTGCTATTGTAAATCGTGCAATATTATCTGGTTAGAGGTTAGTAATAAATAAGTAGTATGGGGACAAATGCAAGGACTGCATGCTAACACAAAACTAGAATCATCTGAACACTGAGCAACTAAGAACATCATGAGTATGCAGCTTGAGCCCATGACGTGTACTGTCAGCCATGTAGAGTATATGCGCGTCGTGAATAGTATCTTTTGTTTTACGGAGGCGCATCTGTCGTTACTATGAAGAGCGTGCCGATACCTAGTTTCCTCAGCTTACATAAGCCACTGGTAACAGAAAGTCACGCAAGAGGATATGTATGCCATGTATATGGTAAATCTTGCAGCCACGATTGAAGAATCTCATCATAGTACTATCTCCGCTATGTTGTTTGTTGTCTTTGAGAGGACGTGTGTAAAACTTCACGAGATGCCCTATCTTCCCGGAAAACTGTTCATTTAATATTCCTAAAAGGCTAAAAAAAAAAAACCTTGAGTGTAGTCCCAAAAGCTGGGCAACTATTATCCGATTATTGTCTCTATCAACGGTAAGTAGTGAGCAATAACCACTTGATGTGCACCCTCTCATACACAATACAAATATCATCGGACATTATCATGACATTATGATGAATCATATGGGAGGGAGTGCTATATTAATTACTTAAAACCTCATGCTTCAACCATACATGAAGTGCCAGCATGGCATTATGTGTCATATATTACTGGGCACAGCAGACTTCCTTTGTTACAGATTTACAGGTAAATATATAATGAATTGAGTGATGTTGTTGTCTTGTTTTGAAATGCAACAAATTGATTATGTACTTCTACACTATCTTGAATGTGGTTTAAAGAGAAAATTTTCTTGTCGTGTGCCCGTGCAATTTCTCGGAAGAGATATTCCATCTTCTATTGCATGTAGAGGCCTGGCATGCGCTTTCCGAAGGGTGTTGTCATGTGAATGTTCTGTATGTAAAGGGAAAGCGATGCAGCTGCTAGGATGAAGAGTGAAAACCATGTTGTAGGATCTTTATATAAATGCATGCAACATTCAGGGAAGGTAGTGACTGTTATATGTTAATTCATCTTCTGCAGTCGTTTTATCACTCAGTGCTGTAGCAATTTTGTCTGCCTAGAACTTTCTCTTCTTTTTTAATCCTCCAATCAAATGGGCCTTTGGGCTATTTCATTCCACATCAGATTCTCTTATCAAGATGTGATGCTGATTGAAGGACGGTGAAGACCAATCCTTGGACCAATCACTGGATGGATCTGTTTCGCTTCTTTTTGCAAAGCTTGATAACGTGCCACGTGGTCCAGTGATTTTAGAGAGTCTTGGTTTGTAACTGTTGGAAGGAGATTGAAATCGTTTTCTTTCTCTAGCTTTCTTTGGGCTGTGCACAAAGTAGGCATATCTTAGACCTATTCGAATTCTCTATCGTTCTCGATGATTTTATCACCACATCATGCTTGAACTTTGAGATGCACAAACAGTAGTTTTGTTATACCATTCCCCTTATGTCCGTGTATTAGTTCCTGCAACGTGTCGCTCTAGAAAATTTCCTCTATCAGGACAGTTCATATATCCAGACTTGGCACATGTTCATTTCCTGTAAGAATGAGCCACCACATGAAACATTTTATGTGATCAAGTAATATTCTTTCTGTTCATTGTCTTGATTCTCGGTCTCCAGTATGCTCAGACCGAGGCATGTATACATGAACCCATGTAAATGTTCCTCACCGGGAAAAGAGAATGCTGTTTTGTTTCGCCCTCGATGAATGACCATTGATTCCTTCTTTCCAATTTAGTCTGATAATGTCAAGCCTTGAGAAAGTTGTTAGAATTTAGAACTTGTCAGAAGCTATCACATGCAGATGCTGACCTGTATCTGATTATGTGATAAGTTTTTTTTTTAACCTTTTTACCTTCTTCTGGAGTTTGTTCTTCAGGTTTGCAGATGTCAAATTTGTACGCTCGATGATGTGCGATGTAGAAAAAATGGACTGTAGGTAGTAACCCATCTGCATAGACCAAAGAAGAAAGGCTTGGGTTTCTACACCCCAATATAAAGGAGGAGCATCACAGTCTGTTGATGTTCAAGTCCTTCTCCAAAATGTGAATAGATGCTGCACACGCTGCAACAAAACCATTTGCATATGTAAGATGATAAGGCTTTGCCATCGGAACTTCAAAATATCTTCACTTCCACTTATGTTGGTGGAGGAACAGTGAAGCCTCCGGAGCTATATAAACAACCTGACGTTCAACTTTCTACAACCAGAGAGATCGACCAGTTGGATATGCATTTTGTGCTTGCCTCCCACAGCCCCTGCTTAGCCTCTTTTCCCATCGTTCAACACTTATAAATGGAGTATGCTAATTTACGACGCCAAGCAGCATCCTTGAAAAGGAGCCTCTTTGATCAGGCTTGTGCTCTGTTCATCTCATACATTAAGCATCAGAGTTCATGCAGTAAACACTTGTCATGTTTTCTTTACAGAGCCAAGACAAGAATTGTCACTTTGCACCTCTGTTTCAAACTTTGACACACCTTAGAAAAATCTGAATGAAGCACAAAATATTGAATAAGTTTGCTACCATGTAGTGCTTAAATTCCGCTTTTTCTTTATGTGCAGCAATGCTTTAAGAATTAAAAAAATTTAACCATTTTGGAACTCTCCTTTTCTGCCACTTGTCTTATTTTAATGTGCGTTGATATGGATATGTGCTGATTTAGCTAATCATATTTGGTAACAGGGGTATTTGGATGAGCAATTTTGCCAGGTTGAGGACTTGCAGGATGAAGCAAGCCCCAATTTTGCAGAAGAAGTGGTCTCCTTGTTCTTCAAGGACTCAGCGAGGCTAGTGACAAACATTGAGCAAGCTATGTAAGCAATGGCACTTCCATAAACTTGGTCAATTGTTGTTAAGCAGTATCTAACAAGAACACTGCAGGGAGAAGTATCCAAAAGATTTCAATAGATGGGATGCACACATGCAGCAGCTTAGAGGCAGCTGTTTTAGGTATGTCTAGACAGTCAAGTTTGAATATCTTTAGGCGATAGATGATTAGATGCTGCATGCCTATGTGAAAGAAATTGGTGGTAGAATCTTAGAGGCTGTTGAATTTGTTGCCCTTTTAGGCAAATTCTTGACTAGTCTTGATTACCTATTGGGCAGGACCCCTGCTTTTTCCAACAAACTGGTCAGCTTGGATTAGAAAGCCATCACCTGTTGAAGGAGAGACGCACATGGCTAAACTCAGTTTCATGGGTGAAAAGTGATAATTGTTTGGTTTTGTAAAAGGAAATCATAAGTTTGCAGAACTTAATCTGAACCTTTGCTACTACCAGAAAATAATGGATAGGAAAATTGTCAAACGAGCTGTTGACTATTTGTTTCATGAGCCACCAGAAAGCTCCTGTAGCACACTGCTTCTAGATATCGGATGTATCTGAACACTGCATGTTTGTGTCCTCAATTCTCGAAACCATATTTTTTTGCCGCCCTCAATTCTTGAAACAGTGCCTTGTTTACTTCTTTTTTTTGGTTGGTGGTGCTTCTATGTTTTTGTTTTACTTTAAGTGCCTCAGGGAATGTGTAAACCAGAGTTTTTCTTTTTCTTGACGGAGATCTCCTAACGCAGAGATTTATATTGCTTTCATCACGCAGTACTAATCATGTGCATCCATTTTACAACTAGATGTTGGATGCATGTGGAGTAGCAAACATTGGCCTTTTACAAATGATGATATGTATCATGAGATGACATGCTTGCAGCTCCTTTGCCATGACATAAAGAGCTGACATTTTGCATTTGTTATATTACTACTCTGCTGTAAAGTTTTGGGCTTAAGCTTAACATAATACAACTTGCCACAGCATCGGCGCTTCTAAGATGAACAATGAGTGCACATCTTTCAGGAACAGCTGTGGAGAAGAAAATGCTGAAGGGTATCTCTCCCT